AAACTCTTTTTTAACCATAAATTTAAGTTAAGGTTCAAATATTGAACGTATACACTTGATATCCTATATACTTTTTTGTCAGTGCTGCTATCTAGTAGCACTATACGTAAGATCAAAACTCATTCTGTCCAAGGTGTTTCAGAACAGCCTAACAAAAGTATGAATTGCGAAAAACCGTTCCCCGTCCTATTTGAGTTTTTATTCATATTAAAACTTACATTAAAAATTTGAAGCCTTCTTCCCGATTGCCACCAGTTTATTTGAAATGTGACATACAATCGCCTATTCTCCCATAATACATACATTTTTTATTTAGTACATGATTAAAGATGGAACGTAAATATAGTTTTTTGAATTTAATTAAAATGAAAATGTGTTGACAACGTCATCTGGAGAAAAATTTGAAAAAAATTAACACGATGAAATCTAATTTTTTTAGGGATAAGGGCAATATTTATTTTGCGTATATCGATTAACTGCAATATCATGATGCTGGTTTTGTAAAAGAAACAGATATAGGTTTACTGTATTCCACTGTTAACAGAATGAAATACACGGAAATTTCAGTATATTATATCAAAATGATTTTGAAGCCTCACCATCTCCAGTTTTTGTTTGTTTGTGGTTCAGCTCAAAGCTATACAATGGGTTAGCTGTGCTGTGCCCACCACGGGTATCGAAACCCGATTTTTAGCGCTATAAGTCTTGAAGCTTACTGATGTGGCACTGTTGGGTTAATCTTGAAGTAAATTATTATAAAACCAGTATAAAATAATATATCTAAGATTATTTAATGCTATTATTTAAGGTGGCCATCTTTGACATCAATAACAGCTTGACATCTTTGTGGCATTGTGTTTGTCTATTTTCTCAAAGTCTCTGGATTAATTTCATCCCATTTTTCTTGAAGCTACGCCCAGAGGTTTTCTTTACTACAGTGGGTGTTGTTTTTAATCATGTAGCTCAGCAAACCTCGGATTCGTTCTATAGAGTGAGGGTCTCTGGACTTTGTGGTGGCCATTTCACTTGACAGGTAAGCTTGGCCTTGCTTGGAAGTGCGAAATATGAAATCCTGCCAAATCAGCTTCTTTCCAGAGTGTATAACATGACGGACTAGTATACTGTCGTATTTATGATGAACCAAGATGTGAAGATGTTTGCAGATATTTCGCTCTAAACATCACAGAGCATGCTTGCTTTTTGACACAAGGCAACCTCTAATTTACTCTTCAGCAAACATGTACATGGAACGAAACAGTTTAAATTTAGATTCATCTGTCCAAAGAACCTTGTGCCATTGTTCCAAAGGTCAAGATACGTTTATCGAGAATGTAGTTGTGAATTCCCAGTGTTGGCTTACATAGTTTTAGATTGTGGTTTCTGATACAGATGGAATAAACTTGTTAATAGTTTCAGAAACAACCTTGGAGAGAGAAAGAGCACATTCTGGCTAGTAATAAAGCAGTTCAAGTCTTCATGACATGTCAAAATATCTAAGCAATACAAATTGAGTAGGAGGTCAAAGGTCAAGAAACTTATGATACAGTTCTGAGAAAATGATACAAGAGACGAACTTGGACTTTTTAGAAGATGTTTATGGCTTTGTTTTATCCTTGTTACATGTTCTGTAATACATGAAATTAATTTACTCTGAAGGACCATTTTGTTATTTTGTTATAAGTTTGTTTTATAGAAAATGTTTAACAGTACAAACGACTTTGCACAACCTTCTATAAAGTTTTCAACCTGGAACAAGATACTCAAAGTATTGTAAGGGAAAAATCCTCCACTTAACTTTTTATTTCCTTGTAGAAATTAATGCACGTCTCCCAATACTAATGAAGGCGGAATATTTAGTTACCAACACGTTTTCGAGACTTTCTGTTTTACATTGATATTGTTACGTCTCCGTTCGTTAGTTAATTTTCCGTAGAAATTATTTCCGAAGAAACTTTACCGATACAAGTCCTTTCTTAAATAAAACTGGTTTATTTTTTCTGAATATAACTTTGCGATACACTTAATTTCAACAGTCACTCTATAACAAACGCTATAATTCACAACGAACGTCTCATGTGCTCAACAATATTTTCTCTCCGCAGTTGAATTACACATTATCTTGCCTCCGTCACGTTGTGACCGTCTTATATATAAAAGAATACCGAGATCTAGTAAACTCCCGATATTTCATGAAGGTTCGAGAAGGAAGTGGCGTGATACAAGCGTCACGTGACCTGCGTTGTCGTAACAATATCATATACAACGCACCGTCTCAACATCGCTAGTGGTTGTGTATGAAACTTATTCCGTATTCATTGAAACATACATATATTTATGCATAAATATACATAAACATTACACAACAGTGGTATTAAGTTTAACATATAAAGAAAAGAGAGCGTGAAACGCCTAACTTTCAGCATTAATTTAAAACTATTTGCTAGACAAGAACGACATAAGCAAAAACGTATCACACATAAAATACAGAAGCACAACACAGAACTAGAATGTAAATTACAATCTGAAAAAGGTAAGACTTGCCCAGTGAAAGGAGTTTTTGTAAAACAAACTTTAGACAGCGGTTGGGGTACACGCAAACCCCACACGTAGAAGAAAAATAAATTCAGTGTAGATATGGCCATTACGTCTCACACCTAAAACCAGTATTCACTGTTTACAGCTAGTTAGAAGAAGGTAAAGTGACTCCTAACGAAAAATAATTATAAAAATAAAACAGGTTACTAAAAAATCTCCCTGCAAGTGATAATCCAAACGGGTCTCCTGATGTCTAGTTTTCGTAATGTGCAGGGTGGACAAAAAGTCTGCCCCCCCCTTCCGTCCCCTTTATTTAAAGCTCATGCTCACAATTTTGTTTTCGCGTTTTAGTAATGATCGTGGTAAAGGGGCGATATGAAACAAAACATTGTTGAAAGTTTCGCTGAGGTCACCCCTAATATGGTGAGGAGGAAGTAACATCGCACGTGGAGACTTATCATTCTATGTCATGAAACTGAAGGTCAATAAACAGACATTTTGGATTATTAATCAAACCTTTCGTTAGTATGCGTCAGTATGAGATATATACATTAAATTATTTCTTTCGTGTACACTATCTTTATTTGAGGGGAGGGACTTTTTGTCCACCCTGTAGTGTAGTAAAATCGAAGTTTTAAATTTTTACCCCTTAAAGAACGATAAATGGGGTCTAAAAAAGTAGCTGCAAATTCACCCAAACATCCACCCTGCTTATCCTTTTTAGTTGCATAAAAATTAATACGGTAAAAGCAATAAGAGCTTGATGTTCAAAATTGATATAATGAAAAACGTGTGGATAAATTTATAATCATTAATAGCTTCTAAACACGAGTAAAACAAAGATTTTATTACAATTAAAGCATTTAACAAAAACCCCATATTAGTCGGCATTGTCCTTTGGGGCTCACACGTAGGTTGACCATTTTTTAGGCTTTAAGTTAGTACCAAATCCATACACTAGGCTACTAATGAGAATTAATTGTCCAGTAAACTCAGAATGAACTGTTTGTTTGTTTGTTTGAAGTTAAGCACAAAGCTACACAATGGGCTATCTGTGCTCTGCGCAGCACGGGTATCGAAACCCGATTTCTACCGTTGTAAGCCCGCAGACATACCGCTCTGCCACTGGGGGGCCTGAGAATTGAGGCAGAAATAAAATCTGCTCACATCATCAAGTGGACGCTGTATATTAGTTTACTTTAGGTAGAACTGGTGCTTCATACTTGTTTGTTTGTAATTAAGCACAAAGCTACACAAAGGCCTATCTGTCCTCTGCTCACCACGGGTATTGAAACCCGAATTCTAGCGTTGTAAGTCCGCAGACATACCGCTATGCCACTGGGGGGCATGTGCTTCCTAGAGCTTTAATCAGAACTTTTAGTCATAGAAGGAAGTAAATTCATAAATGAACCAAAATGACACTGTTGCGAAAATTGTATGACAAAATGAAAACCTTTTCACGCATTTTTTCCAGTGTTTGGATATATCATACTGAATATTTATTTGTGCAACGCCTTTTTCTTTATGTATTCCTGCATTTGTACATGAAAATTTTCCTGGATATATCATATTGAATATATATTTGTGCAATGCCTTTTTTCTTCTCCTTTATATATTCCTGTAATTGTAAATGAAAATTTTCCTGGATATATCATATTGAATATTTATTTGTGCAACGCATTTTTTCTTCTCCTTTATATATTCCTGTAATTGTAAATGAAAAATTTTCCTGGATATATCATATTGAATATTTATTTGTGCAACGCATTTTTTCTCTTCCTTTATATATTCCTGTAATTGTAAATAAACATTTACAGATAGCACAGATAGCCCATTGTGCAGCTTTGTGCTTAATAACAGCAAAAACAAAACCCTTTCCCTCTCCTTCCGAATGAAGCTTTAATTTAGCTATTCCAAAATGCCGTTTTCTTAATAATCAGGAAAGTTCTTAACTTTCTTAACACTATGCTGGGACAGTTTGTAGGTTAGTATGTACTAAACCAGCAAACTTATCGCTGAGCCATCATGGACATCAGAAGCAAACTCAAGAAAGAAAAGAAAAAAAACAACTTTGCAACTACTAAAATAGTTAAAGTGGCCTTCTATAACTCCACTCCTCCAAACCAGTTTACAGGACAATTGCAATTCATTCCTATCTGAATGTCGGGCTAGGGACTCCAAAATAAAATCACCATTCTGGAGTCAAGCCTATAAGAACACATGAACAGGGAAAAATGGCGAAAATCACACAGATGTGACATTCTAAAATACTGATTTGAAGAAGATAATATACTGAAATTTTAAAGAATGTAGTCTAGAATTAAACACAACTTCTCATAGCTTGGAATTAAAGTTATAGATCGGATGCCATGACTATCTCTTATGTGTGAAAATTACAGAATATGCATATAAATGCTTTAGAATGTACTGGATACTGATAGTATAGTAATAATAAAAAAACGAAATCATGCCTAAAATATGTTTATTAGTATCCATGTGTTAAAGATATACTGGATTTATAAAAATGAAATAAGATTTCATGCTAGACCCTTGCTGAGAGAAAGAAATAGTAGCTTGAGCAAAGGTTCCTATAAGATATCACACTATCTTCTCTGGACGTGGTAATGGAAGCTCAGCAACAATGCCTTTTTTTGAGTCTGTAGTGTTCTCGCAGCCTGTAAAAAGCAAAAAAAAAAAAAAAACAATTCAAAGAGTATCAATAGAATATACAAATGAACTATCGAGTATTTCTAGCAAGTTTAAGTAGAAAATTTGTTGTTGTTGTTTAAATTTACAGTAAAACTTACACATCTCTAATAATTAAAGTTATTTTGTTTTGTCTGTTTAATCATCAGTTACGTTTAAAATTACAAAGAAATTGCTTGTTTGTTTTAGAGCAAAACCACATTGGGTTATCTGCTGTGTCCACCGCGAGAACCGAACCCCGGATTTTAGAATTGTATGTCCGTAAACTTCCCGCTGTCCTATCTTTATTGCTATTAACTAGAATGTTGTAAACAAATTCTTTTTACAATAATCATTAAAAATATTTATTAAGTAACTACGAATAATTACATTAGGTTATGTGTTAAATTATGTTATTTGAGATCTCGGAAGAAAAATACATTACCTTACTGCGTTCACGCGTATGAATCCTCCAGCATCTGAAGGTGTGTAGTCGCCTTGGACATCCATACTGCAACCAGAAATATTTTGCATTATGAACTACACGAAATAAACCGCAAATTTCGACTAAGTCATGTGACATAATCGCTACCCTTCTAGCTGTAAACTACCAAGTACCGTGTTATCAGCGAACCAAATGTTAGTGAATCAGTAAATCTACGTGTACCTAAAACATAAACAAAATCCAAACACATGACACAAATTAAACCTTTTAAAGGCATGTGCAGTAATATCAGCAGGATGTTTTTGAGACAAACTGAAGACGTTATTTCAATTTATATTTTAGGCCTATCAAATTCAAAAACACTTCTTACAAGCTTTTTAAAATTAGTTTTAGAAGACATATAGTAGTCTTAAATGTACGCAACCCGAGTAAACTTTTTAGTTATTAAATGTCATAATTTGCGGTTTCAAATTCGCATGATGGAACATGCAAATGCGAAATAAATTTCATTTTTCAGCATTACAATTAACGCATATAAAAAAAAAAACAACACGTTCTTGGAAGGACTGTACATAGAAGAAAGTTTATCCATCAATGTACTTTAACCGCGATTCAGTGAAGAACAACAACATAATTCGTTTCGTATTAACTGCGTAAGCGATTTAACGATGTAATTGATATGTGACATCACTGCAACACGTAGCTCTTTGAAGATGATCTAACGCTCTTGTATGTGAAATCCTTTACAGACTGGAGGTTTTCAATGCCTATATCTTTGTGCTGATATGAGGAGGATTTGTTTGTTTGTTTTAGAGCAAATCCACATCAGGCTATTTGCTGTGTCCACCTTGGGGAATCGAACCCCGGAGTTGTAAGTCCATAGACTTACCGTTGTTCCATCGGGGGACATGAGGGGGGAGGGGTTTTGGATATGATTTGTGACTCTTTTGTTTACTCAAGAGAGAGAGAGTGAGAAACAATAGTTTAACTTATAAATAACCTTTCTTCTTAGTGATTTGTTCCTTTCAGAGTTCGTTAAACCCACCTGACCAATTCTTGATTGTAAGAAGAACATGGAGAACTTCGACTCCGAATGGACACGTGGCCTCTATATAGCTCTAAAAGTACAGTTCCAGTGACGTTCGACTGACTTTGTGCAATACACGTTCTAGTAAATTCACATTCCGGACTATACCAAAAACCTAGAAAAAGTAATACAATTAAAGCAAGTAGTAAAAAAAAATCTTTCTTCAGATGTAAAATTCTTATTTTTTTAAATAGTTTCAAAGCAGCTATTCATTTTGGTTTGTTTTAGATATCGTTTCTAAAAGAATTCTGTCTAGAAACCATGTTCAGTAGATGAAGCTATTTATGTGGCAACGAAAGCTGATCCGCTTAAAATTATCAAACAAAAAACAATTGTCATTTTACCATGCTACATGTTCATTTATCTTTGACAATTTAACAGTTAGCATAGCGATGATGATTTATATATCTACAACAAACTTCAGAACTTAATAAATAAAAAAAAGGAAAAATTAAAGTAGTTTTTTTTTTAAGTTCGCTCAAAGCTACTCGAGGGCTATCTGCGCTGAACTCTCTAATTTTGACGTAACAGACTAGACTAGAGGAAAGGCAGGTAGTCAAAACCACCAATTCTTGAGTTACTTTTTATCAAAGAATATTGGGATTAACCGCAACATTATAATGCCTCGACCCTCACGTTGCGAGTCGAGTGTTTTCTTAAAGACTAGTTGTGTGGAATACAATTTCACCTCCTAGTGATGAATTTTATAGTATCATAAGTATTTTGTTTTGTTTTGTTTTAGAGTAAAACCACGTTGAGTTATCTGCTGTTGTCACCACGTGAAATTGTACCCTGGATTTTAGAGTTGTAAGTCCGCAAAATTACTGCTGTCCCAATAACATAAACTAACATAGCCGAAACAGTAGTTACATTTTGTTGTAAAATCTTAAAACGAATTGATTGTACGTTATTGAACTCTTAAATGTTGTTGTGTGTTTATTATTAACATCAAAGCTACATAATGGGCTATCTGTGCTCTCGTGAATAAAAAAACACATTATATTATCGTAAGCTATATTTTTAATGTTATAATTTGTTGGATAAAGGGAGCTGCGGCCTAGAACACCCAGAAAATGCTAAAACTTTCTAAGAAATTTGATGGTAGATTATAAATGCGAGCTTCACAGCGTTGTTTGAAGTTAGTATAGTTGTTTCTAGTGGGTCGAGTGAAGTAATACAAGTAGGTTTATTTTTTACGCTAGTGTAGTGTAGTTAACATCATTTGTAAACGTGGCCTAATAGTTCCACAATGTTTAAGCTTGTGAAAACGTTAACTAATTTGTTATAGTTTATGTGGACTGAACTTTGAATTATTTTTACATAGTTTAAAAGAACTTGTCAACAATAGAACAGCATTATAACAATATTTACAGTTTTTGTTTTCCCATTAGGTAGAAGTACAGAGAAACCTCTTTAAAAGTAATAATGATAATGATAATAAAGACTTAATAATCACAAATTCCCAACGTAAATTAGTAAAACACAAAAAATCAACATTTAAAATGTGTTTAGTTATTTTGTTGCATATATTAAGCTATTATTATGAAACATTTAGCAGTGATAGACTAGAGGGAAGGCAGCTAGTCAACACCATCCACCGGCAACTCTTGGGATACTCTTTTACCAACGAATAGTGGGATTTACCGTCACATCGTAACATGTTCAGTGTGATAGGGATTCGAACCCGTGACCCTCAAATTATGAAAGTAAATATCACACACACACACACATATATATACACATAACTGTACGAGACTTGCTTTTGGAACTCACCATTATATATTTGTTCGGAAAATTTAATAGCCAAATATTTCTTCAGCTTCCTGAGTTCCTACGTTGAAATAAATTGATACATTAAAACAAGGTAAACTGCGAGCACACACACACACACACACAAGGTCATCATAACCAGCGAAAATACTTGAGAAGTAAAATTTGATATTTACAAAGTACAATTTATGAAGAAATTATTAAAGCTAATCCAATTCTCTAGCTCGATCCTTCTTTCAACGTTTGTTAACTAGATTAAACGGCAAAGGATAAAAAATACGCCACAAAGTTAAAATGCATTGCACAATAAAACTTTAATTAATTAAACGGAATCAAGCCTTGGACATTCTCTAGATGTGTAGGCACTGACCTTACAGCGCCATCCTTAGAAGTAAGGAGTTGTAATAAAAGGCAGCTTTTGTAGATAAATTTTGTATGCTCGCGCATTTTTTTTCTTTTCTTTTTTTGTTGTTGTTGTTGGTCCCCTCTTTGAAACTGTTTCAGGCTGCGACCAGCCCCCGGCCCTCCCCGAATACACACATACACAAAGCGATAGCAAATTACTATACTTACTTCAAAATACCCTTTGATGATCTATGATCTCGCGACCCTCTTTTCCATAGAGACCCCAGTTTGAGAAAGTTAGCTCTCTAAACTTACAAAATATATTTCCAGAGATTAATCTGTATAATACAGGAGCAAATAAAGCAACATTCAAGCACGTGCTTTAAAATCACACAAAATAGGGGGGGGGCAGAGAGTTCCTATATCTAAGCCCGTTAAACTTGTCCACAACTTGAAGATGTGTGCTAGAAATACAGCATCGGGCAAAACATGCACAATCACAAACTTTCAATTAAGAAATGTTTAGTACTCGCTAATAATCTGTATTCAAAAATGGTTTGCTTTCTCCACCTTTAAATATATACACCTATCATAAAGATTTAAAATCGAATAGGAATCTTTTAGAGTTAGGATCTGTTATCCTTTGTTGTAACTCCTTGCTTCTCCTAATGATGGCGCTGTTTAGCACCACCGAAACACGTAGATATGGTTTGGTTTGAATTTCGCTCAAAGATACACTAGGGATATCTGCGCTAGCCGTCCCTAATTTCGTGGTGATAGACTTCAGGGAAGGCAGCTAGTCAACAACACCCACCGTCAACTCTTTTACCAACGAATTGGGATTGACCGTCACTTTATAATGGGACTACGACTGAAAAGGCGAGCATGTTCGTTGTAACGGGGATTCCAAACCGCGAGCGCTTTAACCTCCAAGCCATATAGACAGTGTTTAACAGCGTTTGATGTCCTTTTTACTAAAGTTTTATAATGCAATATATATATTAACTGTGTGTTTTAGTTTAATTAAGATTACACAAATTTCAAAACTAATAGTACCTTCTCATATTTCTCTCACAAGTTTAACAAGCGACCTCTGACTTAGCCAGGGCGTATCCTAAACCGCTCTCAACTAGTTTAATACGTATTTCCTAGAATACAGCTTAATCTATAGCGAATCGAATGGTGTATGGCAATCCTGAAAGACAGAAGTAGTTGCAATGGTTTTTATAGGGCTAGTGGGAGAGATTTTGCATTGAAAATTACCTTCCGGCGTACACTTGTTCTAATGCGATCTCACTTAAAAAGAACAAATTGCTTTTCTTCAAAATCCCTTGTACTAGTCGTTCCAAACTCGTGCGAGTACTGGGGGGAGGGGGTCTGTTTCAAATCTGACCTACAAGTGTAAGGTCGCAAAATGCTCGGAATGCTACCAGAGCAGCGGATGTGGACGTGATCATGACAGAATGCCCGTGACCGAAAAAGCAAACCGTAAAAGAGGTCAAAGCAGGTTTGTCTCTGACAAAATGGCGCTGGTTCAAATATACGCCCGAATCGAAGAACATTCACGTTCAGACAGGGTATTTTCAAGGAGGGCCCAGAAGAGGTCTCTAATCACGAAAAGAAGAGTGTGAGAAAGGAAGATGACGGAAGAGCAATAAACAGTACTAGTACACTGCTTCTCGTATTTGTAGCTTGACTAGCTTGATGACAACGCACCTAAAGCTTTTTAGACTTTGGCACTATGTAACTCTTCACTCGTACAACCTTCAACCTTTTCAACTGCAGCAAAGTGCTGAGCAGATCGCACCCTATCCATCTCTGTAATTAACTTATACTTTTTCAGATCTACCCTACTTAATAAAGTACTGTAATTTTCTTTGCTTTAAGCCAGAGATTGCTTGTTAAACTAACGTTTAGACCACAGTCCTAACGTTCGGTATATTATAGCTTTTACGCTGTGCTGCTATCTATCAACATTATATGCAAGATCAAAACTTTTTTGGCAATTTAGAACACGCGTATTACTCACTCTGTCCATTGTAAATATTTCCAAGTCTAAATGAGCCTCGTAGAGTATTGTCCCAGCAGGTGTCTCGTAACAGCCTAAACAAAATGTGAAATTCTTAAAATGTATCACGTTCCCATAAAAGTTGAAAGATATAAACAAAATTATTGTTTTTTTTTCCGTTTGGTGCCCACCAACAGATCGTTTAGAAAATAACATCAGTAATGCAATGAAATAGAAGAATTAGTAATAAAACATTATATGATATTTATTTAGCAAATTCTGCGATATTAAACAACATTTTTTTGAATAAATCTTCATATTTGTTTCTATTTCTCCATATAAATTCACAAAAATAATAGTCAAGCATTTGGCGATGAGTTCCGCATTTACGCTTTTGTACTGTTGGTGGGCACCAAACGGAAAAGATCCAATTTATTAAGTGGGTTTTAAAGCCTTGTTCGTACCTAACAGACATGCTCTGGTCCATTGAACTGATGGATTCAAACACCACATGCCTCAAAAGAAATTAATTTAAAGAACTTCAAAACGTGTCAGTTTAACCTTAAAGCCTCAGATTGAGTAATTAAGTAATACATTGTCCTACAAAGCTGTGTGTGGTTCGAACCTTTATTTATATTTGCCAAGCAAGTAGTTTCAAATGTAGAACAGTAAGCTTGCTGCTTGCTAGTTTCCTACTATATGAAGTTTAGTAGTTAATTCATTACTTTTATGGTCCATATTTAAAATGAAAATAACGACGTTTATAAGAAAGTAAAAATTTAAATATGTTAACAATCATACATTGGAGAAAGTCTGAACAGATGCACAGTATAAACTTTTTTGAGGCGAGGGGGGATATTCATTATATAAATAACGGTTAATTTCACTAAACTAAGCAATACTGGTTTTGTTAAAAACATAGCTACAGTTTTCTCTCTGGTTCACTTTTAATTGAGTAAAATATACATTTTCAATCAATAGAATGTCTAACAACACATGCATTTTAATATCACTTTTAAACCCAAGCAGACTCTTCACAAACAGGCCTAAAACAAGTTTACTACCGCACCAGTATTACAATATCTAATTGAGTAATTACTATGTGTTAATCTATGTATATGATACATAGTTGAAGCTTAAGTCTTACCTCTTGACTTCATTCCTATGAACCGATTTTCGATTATGTCAATCCTACCGATTCCATGTTTACCACTGCAAAATTAAAACCTTACATTAATTCACGTTGTGCATTTATAAACATTTTTGTCCACTATCTATTCCCATCGTTTTGGAGCCAACAGAACCAGACTTGTGGGGCGAACTCGAGGTGATCGGGGTGTCCATATCTATACGGCGTTGCCTCTTTACCTGACTGTGTTTCTGACTCTCTCTCGGGATTCAGGAGGCGCTATTTTTGAATTTGTGTTCATACCCCAGTCACAAGCTAGTAGGGCCAAACGTCGTAGGCACAAGGGCTCAGGTACCACGAGCGGGTGTAAAAGATTTTTATTGCTTTATTTTTTACAGAAGCCTCTCCCCTCCTTATTGCACTATATACGTAATTGTAGGTAATGGGGATACTTGATCGATATAATGGGGTCTCTGTAAATCATGAAGGGGTTTTGAACCCCGCAGCGGAGCATGGGTATTTTATGATAGTTTTAATAAAACACACAATCACGATTCGGTTTTCTGCTTTTGATTTTTACTCCATCTAAAGATTAGAAGAAATTTCTAATAAACAGAGTTAAAAACCTTCTAGAACTTCTATTCATAAGGTTTCGCCACAGATCGTCTCAAAGAACAATTTTAACACTTACGTTTAAATGATTTAAACTACAGAACAGGACGTTAGTATCACAACATAACTTATAAATACGGATGGTTTTTACGTGACAATCATAGCCAATATAAAGTAACGATGCATGCCATGTATCAAAATGACTTTTTTTAATTGTTTGACGTTAGTAGATAAATGATTACTTTGGGGAAAATACGTAACAGCACTTTCCGACGTAAAACATTTATACACTCATATCATAAAGATGTATTCAAATATATCAGGGATTTAAAATTTCCATGATGGAGATATTCCTTGTGTTTAATCGTATTGTAAAAGAAAGGGATATGGATCAGTTTGGGGTTTCAAAACTATTCAGAAAGAAATCTGCAACAAGTCATAGAACAGCCGTGGTAAGCAAAGTACGGCATCTTAAAATGTGAGAATGTACAAACACAAAGGGTTCTGACAAAAGCCGTGCATATACCCCAAACAATAGTACGCAAAACAAATCATGAATTTCTGTCTAGAAAAGCGACACAAGCCACGCGTACATAAGTTCCGTCCATAACATAACCTTCCACCGTTTTATACCTCAAGTAGCAAGAGAATGAAACAGGCATACATGCTTCTCCATATGAAGACATACCAGTCAAGTCGCCAGACGCAGCATTTCTGGATCTATGTCGATGTGATCAGACTATCTAAACGAGTGCTAGGAACCATTATCCTCGCACATTAAATGGATTATGCACGGCGTGGAGGGAGGAGGGACCTGCTTTTGACATGACAACTTTACCACGAAGCCTTGTGCAACGGAAACTATATTGTAGGGCTAGTGTGAAAATGCACAGTCGTCAGAAAGATCATGACTATATCGTTTTAATATAATGTACTTAACCTCTGTATATTAAAACACTAATGAAAATTCGAACAGCGTTGTTAATTTGATGTAGCTCAAGTCAGCCGAAATATTTAAGATCTAGTGAGATGCAACATGGTTCTGTTTGAAGCTAGAGAGAAAATAGACTACGCATTTGCTAAAAACTCTCTGCGGAAACTAATCTTCACCAAACATCTTCCTTATTCACACAATAGGATATTTTAGCCCTTATTATTACCTCCTTCCCCTCCGATACTATTTAGGAAGAAAACAATGTTTAAAACTGATCTTAGCTTTACATCAGAACGTCCAAATAATATATTGACGATAATAACATTACTATTGTTATTAGCTTGTTTTTAAAGATGAGTTTTATAATACAAACTTAAATCATCCAATATATAAAATGTTAAGGCTGGGGAAAAAAATTAAAAAACATGTAAAAATTATCAAAATTTACAAAATCTTGCTGTCAAAGGTTTTATTAAGAATGTGGATTAGTTAGGATTACTGAAACACGTGGAATAATCCATTAAACATATTTAAAAAGGGTTAATTTTATTTTAGTTAAGCATGGTCAAGTATAAACAGTACTCGATATCTTTCACTCGACTACAAGAAGTGTTTCATTGTTGTTTTTGTTAGTGCTTAAAGTTCAAACCTACCCAAGTTCGTTGAGGTAAAGAAACAGCTCCAGGGGATTCTCTTTTGTAGTTCCATCAATAATATTGTTTACTTTGACTGGGAGACCTAGAATGAATACATTTCCCACTTAAAATGTGCTTCAACATTCTTATTCCATTATTAATTACGTAATATGCCAAACTATAAATGATAATCCTCCATAATTATTATTATGAGAATTTCGATAATTTTTCAAAAGTTTATAAAGCTTTCATTACTGTTAATAATTAATATAGGTCTCTGGAATGATTAAAAACATACCTCAAAATGTTATCGGCTTATGTCCCTAATATAACATTATACACATACTACTGTTTATGTAAAATAACAACCTGAATGAATACTAAGCCTACATGTGTAATTGATTTTATGTTCAATTTTCGGAAAATCGGGTTGTAACCCACGAGACATTTCTGTGACACAAAAAGGAAGTTGCAACAGCCGCAACTTATACTTTTTGTCTCGCGATAAGAAACCACACCCGCACACTGAGAAACCAAATTCATATACGGGCATAGCTAAGTGCTTAAAAGATTCAGGGCTCGGGAATTTTCGGCGTTTCAGTATGATATCGATCATGGTTTTCTATTCTGATTTTTCAAACTACCAACCGGGGATTCGGGCACTGTCAAATAGAATCGGGACACGAACCCCGAGTGCCAGCTCCTTTACAAGAAGACTTTTAAAACATATCCTTCCACCATTGACTTAATACTTAATTATGTCATCATTATTATTGTTATTTTGGAATATTCGAAAGAAAAAACTAATAATCTCTTGACAAGTTACTGTTCAGTCTACCAACAATTTAAATGTTTAACACTCATTAGCTCATAGTTTATAGTAAAGCAAAAAATAAGCTTCTTATTTCACAAACCTTGTTTGAATTCAATCTCTATTACGTCTGAGTGTGAAGATGCTGTCTTTGGGTCAGAGGTCATGAGATACAGACCATCTGGAGGCGAGGCTGCAGGATCTTCCAGAACACCAGACTCATAACTGTTTTTAAAAAAAACACGTTATTAATACATAATAACACCATAACATCCTGTTTACGAGGTTATATTCAATACTGCAGTTAACGTGTGCAAGGACTTGTTCTCAAAAATGTGACGCAATGCTTTATAAAAAAAAAGTTATGTTCAAAGCTTCACACCTGCTATAACATACTAACAAGTTTTGGCATTTGAAACTAGTGAGTGGAATGTATAAATAAAACATGTTCGAAAGTTTCGGACCTTACACTTATTATTTAGCTTTAAATAAACATCTTAACCCTTACTTACCTAATATGCATTAGATTGGCGTCCATACTCCAAGGAGCTTTAGGGCTTACAGGCACAGGAATGTTATGATTCTGCAAAATTAAATTGTGTAAGTGTTTAAGTTATTAAGCTTTACAAAAGATGTGTACTCACATATGTGAGAAAACTAGGCGTAATCAAGTATACACCTTAACAAGAAGTACATGCACAATCCTCTCAAACTTGCATGGATCATAAAAATCGTCTCGCCATGAATACTTACCTTTGCATAAGTAATTAGATCCTGCCGTCCAGTGAAAGTATTGTAGAACTCGGGCATCCGCCAAGGGGCAATAACCTGATAGAAAAAATCAATAACGTGGATTAAGAAAATAAGCAAGACTCACATAAGAAAAAAGACGACAGAGTGCGCTAATAAACTGGAACTTTGTTTTCAGAAGCTATCTTCTGCTCATTTTCATAAGTTAAAAAACAAGTATACGACCGAAAAGCAAAGAAATACGCTATTAAAGCAATAGAAATAATATCGATAAAATCCTTAATTAATTAAGGGAAGCTCACGAGGAATATGATTTTCTCTCTTAATTAATACACGCACTTTATTTCTATTAATTCAACAAACCTGAATTTCAGGACAGAGTGCATAGCAAGTAAGTTCAAAGCGGATTTGATCGTTGCCTTTTCCAGTTGCACCATGAGAAACATAATTAGCTCCTTCAGTTTTAGCAGTCTTCATTAGGGCCTGCCCAATACAAGGCCTAGCAAGAGCAGTACCCAGAAGGTACCTGTCTTCGTAGATAGCACCACCTTGCACCGCTGGCCAGATGTATTCTTCCACAAACAACTGTTTCAGGTCTTCTATTATAACCTGTGAGGAAACAGAAATAAAAACGCTATAATCTACTGTAAGAAGACGGCGAAACTCCGTGAATCTCGGCATTGGATTATTATTTGAAGCACTTGAAACTCTTGAGATATTTTACCATTACCCAGAAGTAACCTTGTAAGGAAGTGGTAGTGGGAACTATGTATGCAAGGTGTGCTGCATGGACATACATGTACTTTTTCCTCGAATTTCTCCACCTTGCAAGGCTATTTATGTCAGTAATGTTGTCCTCGAGAAGTAAACTTACGTTGACTCATCTATCTTAACGTATGGACAACAAGAGACCATTTGGTTCTTCAACACTGTTCTCGCACACCCATCTTTGAGAAAAGCAAAACTCCTCTGAACACTTTCCATTAATTCAATATTCTATCTAGGATAAGGAGACCAGACTTGTATACAATATTCTATCTGGGATAAGGAGACCAGACTTGTATACAACATTCTATCTGGGATAAGGAGACCAGACTTGTATACAACATTCTATCTG